TCGTCTGCAACCACAGGATCCGCATAGAGGTGGCGCATGAAGAGGGCGGTGTAGGCGAAGAGATTGACCGGTGGTTTTGATCTCAGAGCGATAGGCAGCCACTCCTGCGGCGGTAAAATTCCCTTAGGAGGAAGCCCAAACCTACAAAAGCACACGGGGTGGGTAAATAAGACAGTTGACATTTAGTGAACGGGTCACACGGTAAGAAGACGTGACACAATTACTTGCCTCATCACGGAGTCTAGAAACATCTGACGGTCATGCGCATTGAAGCCGTAGACCAGCATCCGTCGGTCCTCAGTCCAGGTCACCTCGTCACCCAGCTCAGCGACCAGCCCTCGCCAGTAGGCGTAGATAGGTTCGGCGTCTGACCAGTCGATTGTCCGATAGAGGGCAGCCATTTGATACTGAGCCATGGGAACGTCATCCAAGTCGTTGGCATTTTGGGAGGTAAACCTTTGTCGCCGACGCTGTTAGGGGCAAATGTGAGAACGGGTTTGAGAACGACCGACCTCGTCGAATATACAGTAGATTCCCTGTTGCATGAAATTTCACCTGACACTTGGAAATGTGTTCTCCGTTCGAACAACTTACTTGAGAATAATTTTAATATTGGTTATAATGCAGCCTAACCCGCAGATATTTCAGTCATGTAAGGATGCTGGATTTTGATAGTTTCTTACTTACCACCTGCAAAGGGCACGTTCTGTAAAAAACGACTACATACGCAGCTATCCTTTGCCTAATTGGTTTTCGTGCCCTTGTAAACTCAAATATATTCTGGAGAAAATTACGGCTTTTTCACATTCCTTCTTCAGATTTAAAAGTTTATGAATTTACCAATAATTTTGAAGGCAAGAGTAGCTTATGTAGCCCCACTCATATATCCCTAGTCCAAGCATTTTGTCCTGCAAAAACGGTGGTTATAGAGTTTTATGGGGTGGGGCAATAGGATAGGCAGAGAAGGAAATTTTTAGAAGTGTAAAGTGAAAGAATTTAGTCGAAGTTGATTCCCGCGGCTGCTGGGAGCAGGTTGTTGCGCATGTAAATTGAAGGTGTGCGCGGTGCTTCGCGCTGCGGACTATACTAATCTAACTCCAGAACGGTAAGTTGGACCTCAGATAAGTTGAAATAGACAACTACCTAACCACCGTTTCAATTTTTCGGGGAATTCAAGAAACCTGCAATTTGATAATCTGGTTTTTCTGCAATAAGTTAAATGATAATACAGATTAGAAAATCTACAGATATAAATCAACAACACTCTTGAATACAGTAAAATAAAAATGCATTTAGCATTTATTAAAGTATATTCCACTGCGTATCCTAATTTCCCGCCAATAAAACCCGATAAACAGCGTTTTCGTAGGGAAACATGCAGGTTGTAGGGATTAATGAGTGGGGCTACATAAGCTACTGTTACCATTTTGAATCCTACCGGTCATTACAATCGAATTAAAGGTGTTCAAACTACATCTGGTATACATTATATTTAAGAAAAAGTTCACACTTTTTCTATGTTATGAGGAATGGGTCACATATCTTTCATAAAATTTTGTAATAGAGGTTGATCAAACCAGGTGCATCATGGAAAATATCAATAAGTTGACAGATAAGATCTAGTACGCAGAAAAATTTCATAGTCTTAAAAATCTTACAATTAGAAAGTTTTGGAAAACCGAAATATATTCTTGTTTGAGTATAAAATTTGGAAAAAAAACGCAAAAAAATTTCTGGCCATGTTTTCTATAAAAGATATTTAGGTTTATGAGAGTATTGGACATCGACGAGAAAAATGTATACTATTTAAGTAGCCATTTTTATGGAGTGCACTTTTTACAGGTTGGTCAGAAATAAGCTCGATCGAGAGCAGACATCCTGACATGACTGAAATATCTTGAGATTAGGCTGCAAGACAATAAATTCTAATTTTTTTTCGAATTGAAAACACATTTCAGAAGTTTAGTTGACAGAAGGGAATCTACAGTATTTATTCCAGAATATGATACATCGCTCGATATCGCGTCAAGACAGAAGTTTAGTGACGATACCTGCTTTCACAGATGATTGCTTTCCCCGCCAAATTGTTATGGACTGATACAGGACAGGATGATTAAGTGCGCTATTCAAGGGTCATCATAAAATGAGTATTACTAAAAGCCAAATTCGCTCCTGTCCATGTGACCCACCGGAAGTATGCGTTGCTAACTTAATTTGGTTTTGCAATCAGGCTAACATGTGGAAAATGCGTGTTGACACATTTATTAACTGTTATAGAATGATTGCATTGCGATAAAACCCGTTAAGGCCGCGATTTTGAAGACCTATACCGCTCTACGTCGTGTCCGAAACAGAGCGATCAGTGCACAACTTTCGGTTTCCCTTTTTATGAATAAACGTGGAAGGATAGCACTTAAAGAAGAGCTGCCAGTAAACTGGAGAAATAAGATGATGACATTTACATCAAAGCGGGACGGGGTGAATGAAATCATAGTAAGAGACACTATTTTTTGAAGCTGCAAAAAGAGAAAGGCCGCAAAAACAAAAATGGCCGACAACCTTAGATGCTGAGTGGTTACTTAAACTTTTGCTAACTTTACCCTGCCTTATTATTTGCCTAATGATGACTTAACGTTCGTTCGCCTAACTTGATTTCCTGAAACCTTAGATACCTCTAGCCCTAGGATTCTGTCCTATAGAACCTCTGGTATTAGGGGTTATAAGGGTGGGTCATGTCAGGGAACAGAAAAAAAATAGCTAACAAGAATAAATATTTAAATAATCGAATGTTTGGTGCGCGATAAGTGAAATGAGAAATGCAACCAATAGGAAACAAGAACCACGCAAAAGTGCTCGCGAATAGGATACACACCGAAATTTAGAGACTAAACTAAAACCATGAAAGACAGGCTTTTCTCCCATTCTTCATAAAAGTGACAACAGTTTCTAATGTTCAGCTTTTTAATCTCCTGAGAAACTAGTTTCTGTTCGCTGTATATATCAGTATATTTAAGTTCTATAGGTGTAGACTAAAGACTACTAAAGACTGTCTGATGGCAGCAAGCGTATATTTCACAGGGGTTGACGGATTCCAACACAAATATACACTTACAGCTTCAGTGTACGCCTATAGACCTTAAATATACTGATAATTATCGCGAACAGAAATTAATTTTCCGGCAGATTAAAGAGCTGAGCTTTCAAAACCGGTATATCAACCAGAAAGCAGACAGGGAAAGCGGGGGGAACCAATGATGAGCCGGACCCCTCGCAGCTGTGTAAAGCAGCGACAGAATACCGGCGAAACACGTGTCTGGGCCTTTTAGCATGTACATGGGCTGTTAGTATGGTGAGTCACAACATCAG